CGGCCATTTTTAGTGCAATCGACGAAATTTGGTATAGGTACGGGAGTTCGGGATGTAGGTTTGCTGGACCTTTACTGATAGTTGAAATTCGACATATGACGTCATCTAGCGTCATCTAGCGTCATCTAGCGTGAAATATCGCCAGATGATGATAGATGACGCTAGATGACGCTAGATGACGCTAGATGACGCCAATTAGCGACATTGTCGCTAAGTGCACGGCACCTTTCGAATGTCGCTATCTAGCGCTATCTAGCGCTATATAGCGCTATCTAGCGCTAGTTGACGCTATATGACGCTATATGACGCTAGATGACGCTAAGCACGCAGCACTGACGCCAGGCGACAGATAGCGCTATTTTCATAAAATTTCCGCCCTTTTTTTGCGACATCTAGCGGTATCTAGCGCTATCTAACGCTATATGTCGCAACGACATCTGACGCAGCGCTATCTAGCGCTATCTAGCGCTATCTGGCGCTATCTAGCGGAGAATGTCGGTTTGTGACAGTTTACGCTAGATAGCGCTAGATAGCGCTATCTAGCGCTAGATATCGCGGCGACAGCTAGCGCTAGATAGCGCTATCTAGCGTAAACTGTCACAAACCGACATTCTCCGCTAGATAACGCTTGTTAGCGCTAGATAGCGCTATCTAGCGGAGAATATCGGTTTGTGACAGTTAATGCTAGATAGCGCTAGATAGCGCTATCTAGCGCTAGATATCGCGGCGACAGCTATAGCTATGGCTATAGTTGTTAAACGTTAAATATCTAACGTTGGTTATAAGTTTTATTTTTAACGTTGCAAAACGTTTATTATTTGACGTCAGATCAAGGTTACCTTATTAACTATAAGCATGAGAGTTTAAAATTCAACTACATTTTAAAGTTGTATGTAGGTTACATATAAAACGTTGTTAAACGTTAAATATCTAACGTTGGTTATAGGTTTTATTTTTAACGTTGCAAAACGTTTATTATTTTACGTTAGATCAAGGTTACCTTATTAACTATAAGCAACGTTCAAAACTCAACTAAATTTTAACGTTGTATGTAGGTTACATATAAAAACTTTGCCGGCTGGTATAGGCTTAGACTAATATTTTGAGAAAAAGCGGCGCGTGATAGTAAATTACGAGTATCACCCGTTAACGAGTGAGATTCGTCCAGTATAACCTGTTTATGCTCTAACCATAGCCCTCTCGCTAGTAGTACGCTTAGACACATGGCTATGTGAAAGAAGATGATGTAAAGATCTAAATGTTAAATTAGCATTTGCAAATTAATAGTATTGAAATCTCGCACAGCAAGTTATTAAAAGAATGTAATGAGAGTCGAGCCGAATTTATTGTTCAGTAATCACATATATCGTACCCACGAGTTTTCAGTTTACGAACTACGCGCAAGTGTGAAGTGCAAGCGCGAAAGCTTTAGTGCAATTTAGCTACGAAAATACCAAAACCCTTAAAATGCGATGCATTCAGTATTTAGAATTAATATATTATAAATTTATAAGTTATGGCATCCGCACGTCATCGTTTCCCGCCATTTTAACACAAATTTTTGCAATTAGCTTTTTATTATATATTTCGAAAATTTTTGTATCACGTGGTGACCCCCACGGTCGCTTCACTATAGTAGAGTTTCGACGATACAGGGGAGCCGCGCACTCGTGCGCGGCGGGTCATACATGATACAACGTAAAAAAGAAAATTTATGAGGCGAATTTTTCCCAAACTAATCCCGAACTGAAAAAACGTGCCGAACTGTACGAATTTTTAACGACTTTTGTACGAACTGACTAACTATGTTACTAAATTGGCGATATGCACCATGACTGGGCCTCGCCGAGCTGTGAACATGAACAGTGAAGGATTGACATCGTGAATCAACGCGATGCGTTACTGTGAGTGTGTCGCGCCGCGCATCCAAAAATGCTTCTCGGTATCCAATAATGCTTTTCGGCAAAATGCACCACTGAGCTGTGAAAGATTGGCATCATGAATCAACGATGTTAGTAACTTGTATAAATTTCGTCGAAATATTACGTGCCGCTTTCTTCCGATCCCGAAATGTTAAGGGTCGACGGTCGTTTACATATTAGTATTACGTAATCAGCTGAGGAGGTTGGGGTTTTCAAATAATTATTGATTACGCTAGTGTAATATTGACATAAATATAATAGCTATGGTAAAACTGATTACGGGGTATGTGAACGACCCCTCATTGTTAGTAATCAGTTCCATACATAGCTATTAAGCTATTAGTATTATGTCACAATCACACTAGCGAGCGTAATAATTTGGAAAACCCCGGCCGGCGGCATCAGGCCCTTTATATAATTATAATATGTAAACGACCCCTTGATTAAGTGATATTTAATATTTTGTTCCACTCAGCCGAATATTTGATAAATCGAGTGTAATAGTTGGGTGACTTCGACGAGCTGCGCAAGCTTATAGTTATATCATTTGCATTCTCACTTAAATTATAATTAATTTTCATACACAGTAAAAATTAATTTTCATATAAAATAAAAATAACAAAAAAGATTGGGTGGGAAAAGACAGGCTGCGCTTACGGTCCCAGTAAAACACACACACACACACACACACACACACACACACACACACACACACACACACACACACACACACACACACACACACACACACACACACACACACACACACACACACACACACACACACACACACACACACACACACACACACACACACACACACACCCACCCACCCACCCACGCACGCACGCACGCACGCACGCACGCACGCACGCACGCACACACACACACACACACACACACACACACACACACACACACACACACACACACTAAAGTGCCTGGACTGTCACGACCCAAAATTCTTCGCTATTTAGCGCTATCTAACGCTATTTAGCGCTATCTAACGCTGTCTAGCGCTATATGTCGCAACGACATCTGACGCTATATATATAGCTTAGCGCTATCTGGCGCTGTATAGCGCTAGATAGCGTGAACCGTCGTAAACTGACTTATCCCGCTATCCAGCGCTTGATGTCGCCTGCGTCAGATGTTGTCGCGACAGATGTCGTCAGATGACGTCAGATATCGCTAGATGGCGTCAGATAGCGTCAGATGTCGCGGCAACATATGACGCTAGATGACGCTAGATGTCGTCCCTAGAATTTTTATGAAAATAGCGCTATCTGTCGCCTGGCGTCAGTGCTGCGTGCTTAGCGTCATCTAGCGTCATCTAGCGTCATCTAGCGTCATATAGCGCTAGATAGCGCTAGATAGCGCTAGATAGCGACATTCGAAAGGTGCCGTGCACTTAGCGACAATGTCGCTAATTGGCGTCATCTAGCGTCATTTAGCGTCATCTAGCGTCATCTATCATCATCTGGCGATATTTCACGCTAGATGACGCTAGATGACGCTAGATGACGTCATATGTCGAATTTCAACTATCAGTAAAGGTCCGGTTTACTGTGTTCCTACTTTGAATTTACTTTGGGTTCTTTACTTTGAGAAGGATCAAACAAAGTGAAAAGAGGAGGATAACAACGTTAGAACAAAAGGGGTATATTAGGGAATAGTAACAACACGTATAAACAAGACCGACTGAAGGGAAATGTGAATGGGATAGGGAATAGGGATAACTTTGTGAAGGGATAACTTTACTCCAAAACTCTTACTATCTATATGGGCTGTTTGCTTGCGGAGCAAGACTAACGGTGCATCTCAAATATCTATCAGTGCGTGACGTTGCCTAATTAATCTTAAAAACGGTTTAGCTAATGAGCCAAATAATTGCTTGAGATTGCAATGGCTATTGACATAAAAACGGTTTGACCTTGGAACAAAACACCGTTAACTTTAAACCAAACAATAACTGGGATCCCTACAGGGAGACCACTTATAGCTTATAAAAGTAGAGCACCCAAAATCTGGGTGTATACGCTACTTCATAGGTACTTCAGTAATACAGTGCATAAACCTCACTTTTAACTAGGAGTACCTAATGATCTTCTACCGAGATAAATTAGTCACTAGGTTCCTTACTGTGTACTGAGACGGACATTCAAAGAAGGAGAATTCTAGCTGAGATTGCTTTTAAGAAGTTTGAAAAGCTGAGGTTATATGATGCTCAAGTTGTATCTGTATTGATTTATAACTCAAACACTTGGAGTCCTAAGAAAGCAACCATGGAGAAAATAGACACACTTCATCGTAGACACCTGAGGTCCATTTTAAACATCAAATGGCCTAAAGGTATGATAAGCAACAAAGCATTGTATGAAAGGTGCAAAGTTGAAAAGTTATTCAAGCGTATCGAACACCAGCGGTGGAAGATGTTTGGACACATTCTCAGGAGTATGGAGAACACCCCAGCCCAAACGGCTCTCTCTTTTGCTATTGAATCAGATAATTTATTTATTGGAAGATTGGGGAGACCTAGAATGAACTTGTTATCTGTTTTAAGAAATGATTTAAGTAGTAGAAATTTGCACATAGATAACTTGCATGAATTAAACAAAATCAAAGATATAGCTGCATGCAACAGATGTTGGGAAAATCTGTTTCAAGGGTACAGTTTACCGCATTAAGGTATTTTTATGAATCATTTTTGTCGGTAAGATCCTGTTTTATAATAATAATAAGAATATTATTATAATAATAATATTTATCCCGGAAATTATTATAGGAGTCACGTGTATCGGAGAATAGAAAATATAACAAATCCGTTTATATTCGCTTAGTAATGGCATTATGCATTATGCAGAGCAAGGATAACTTCATTACCTGCGCGGGTCCTGGAGAATTTTCAATTTAATTTTGTGCATATTTTTCCATTTTATTCCCAAGGCCATATTTCAATTTATAATAATATTTACATTCTACGGTAGTTATGTGTGTTATAATATGCATTGTTTCTGAGAAATGACATTCAATACAAACAACATCTACGTTTACAATTTGCACGTGTGCCTATTTCAGGTACATACCGTGGAACGTGCACGTGCCTGCGGAAGACACATACAGTTTTGAGGGAATAGCAAACGTGTACAGTTACCTGGAGACAGCATGGTCACTAGGGCTCACAGTGATAGTGCGACCTGGCCCCTTTCTGGCAACGGAGTGGGACTACGGGGGCTTCCCTGCTTGGTTACTAAAAGATAGGCCTACTTTAGAGTGAGTCATATTATCTACTTACATAGATATTATGTTTTCTGGAACCAGTGGCGTAACATTGCCTGGCGCCCCCCCCCCCCCCGAAAAAGCGCCCCCCTGTTGGCGTCCCCTCCCCTTTTGGCGCCCCTCCCTAAAATTGAACAAATTATGTGATTTTAGAGGATACGCCGGTAAAATCTCTAAAAAAGTGTATTTCTAGAGCAAAACACGCAGTTTTGCTAGTACCTCAGTTAAGTTTTTCAAAATTGTCCCACATTCAAACGACGATTTGGTGCACCCCTAAGATGGCGCCAATCTGCTACATATAATATATATATTAATATACAATGTATATAGAGATGTATCTTTTTGGAAAGTTGCCAAAAAGTTTTGCATATTTTTGCAGCTAAATTATTTCAGTGTACGACGGAACGAAACAATGTTTATGAGGGAGGTAAAAAAGTGGTATTCCAAACTCCTCCCCACACTGAAACCCTACTTGTACAGTAGTGGGGGTCCTATTATTGCAGTTCAGGTACTTTGTTTACTGAAACCCTACTTGTACAGTAGCGGGGGTCCTATTATTGCAGTTCAGGTACTTTGTTTACTGAAACCCTACTTGTACAGTAGTGGGGGTCCTATTATTGCAGTTCAGGTACTTTGTTTACTGAAACCCTACTTGTACAGTAGCGGGGGTCCTATTATTGCAGTTCAGATACTTTGTTTACTGAAACCCTACTTGTACAGTAGCGGGGGTCCTATTATTGCAGTTCAGGTACTTTGTTTACTGAAACCCTACTTGTACAGTAGCAGGGGTCCTATTATTGCAGTTCAGGTACTTTGTTTACTGAAACCCTACTTGTACAGTAGTGGGGGTCCTATTATTGCAGTTCAGGTACTTTGTTTACTGAAACCCTACTTGTACAGTAGCGGGGGTCCTATTATTGCAGTTCAGGTACTTTGTTTACTGAAACCCTACTTGTACAGTAGTGGGGGTCCTATTATTGCAGTTCAGGTACTTTGTTTACTGAAACCCTACTTGTACAGTAGCGGGGGTCCTATTATTGCAGTTCAGGTACTTTGTTTACTGAAACCCTACTTGTACAGTAGTGGGGGTCCTATTATTGCAGTTCAGGTACTTTGTTTACTGAAACCCTACTTGTACAGTAGCGGGGGTCCTATTATTGCAGTTCAGGTACTTTGTTTACTGAAACCCAACTTGTACAGTAGTGGGGGTCCTATTATTGCAGTTCAGGTACTTTGTTTACTGAAACCCTACTTGTACAGTATAGCGGGGGTCCTATTATTGCAGTTCAGGTACTTTGTTTACTGAAACCCTACTTGTACAGTAGTGGGGGTCCTATTATTGCAGTTCAGGTACTTTGTTTACTGAAACCCAACTTGTACAGTAGTGGGGGTCCTATTATTGCAGTTCAGGTACTTTGTTTACTGAAACCCTACTTGTACAGTAGCGGGGGTCCTATTATTGCAGTTCAGGTACTTTGTTTACTGAAACCCAACTTGTACAGTAGTGGGGGTCCTATTATTGCAGTTCAGGTACTTTGTTTACTGAAACCCTACTTGTACAGTAGCGGGGGTCCTATTATTGCAGTTCAGGTACTTTGTTTACTGAAACCCAACTTGTACAGTAGTGGGGGTCCTATTATTGCAGTTCAGGTACTTTGTTTACTGAAACCCTACTTGTACAGTAGCGGGGGTCCTATTATTGCAGTTCAGGTACTTTGTTTACTGAAACCCTACTTGTACAGTATAGCGGGGGTCCTATTATTGCAGTTCAGGTACTTTGTTTACTGAAACCCTACTTGTACAGTAGTGGGGGTCCTATTATTGCAGTTCAGGTACTTTGTTTACTGAAACCCAACTTGTACAGTAGTGGGGGTCCTATTATTGCAGTTCAGGTACTTTGTTTACTGAAACCCTACTTGTACAGTAGCGGGGGTCCTATTATTGCAGTTCAGGTACTTTGTTTACTGAAACCCAACTTGTACAGTAGTGGGGGTCCTATTATTGCAGTTCAGGTACTTTGTTTACTGAAACCCTACTTGTACAGTAGCGGGGGTCCTATTATTGCAGTTCAGGTACTTTGTTTACTGAAACCCTACTTGTACAGTATAGCGGGGGTCCTATTATTGCAGTTCAGGTACTTTGTTTACTGAAACCCTACTTGTACAGTAGTGGGGGTCCTATTATTGCAGTTCAGGTACTTTGTTTACTGAAACCCAACTTGTACAGTAGTGGGGGTCCTATTATTGCAGTTCAGGTACTTTGTTTACTGAAACCCTACTTGTACAGTAGCGGGGGTCCTATTATTGCAGTTCAGGTACTTTGTTTACTGAAACCCAACTTGTACAGTAGTGGGGGTCCTATTATTGCAGTTCAGGTACTTTGTTTACTGAAACCCTACTTGTACAGTAGCGGGGGTCCTATTATTGCAGTTCAGGTACTTTGTTTACTGAAACCCAACTTGTACAGTAGTGGGGGTCCTATTATTGCAGTTCAGGTACTTTGTTTACTGAAACCCTACTTGTACAGTATAGCGGGGGTCCTATTATTGCAGTTCAGGTACTTTGTTTACTGAAACCCTACTTGTACAGTAGTGGGGGTCCTATTATTGCAGTTCAGGTACTTTGTTTACTGAAACCCAACTTGTACAGTAGTGGGGGTCCTATTATTGCAGTTCAGGTACTTTGTTTACTGAAACCCTACTTGTACAGTAGCGGGGGTCCTATTATTGCAGTTCAGGTACTTTGTTTACTGAAACCCAACTTGTACAGTAGTGGGGGTCCTATTATTGCAGTTCAGGTACTTTGTTTACTGAAACCCTACTTGTACAGTATAGCGGGGGTCCTATTATTGCAGTTCAGGTACTTTGTTTACTGAAACCCTACTTGTACAGTAGTGGGGGTCCTATTATTGCAGTTCAGGTACTTTGTTTACTGAAACCCTACTTGTACAGTAGCGGGGGTCCTATTATTGCAGTTCAGGTACTTTGTTTACTGAAACCCAACTTGTACAGTAGCGGGGGTCCTATTATTGCAGTTCAGGTACTTTGTTTACTGAAACCCTACTTGTACAGTAGCGGGGGTCCTATTATTGCAGTTCAGGTACTTTGTTTACTGAAACCCAACTTGTACAGTAGCAGGGGTCCTATTATTGCAGTTCAGGTACTTTGTTTACTGAAACCCTACTTGTACAGTAGCGGGGTCCTATTATTGCAGTTCAGGTACTTTGTTTACTGAAACCCTACTTGTACAGTAGCGGGGGTCCTATTATTGCAGTTCAGGTACTTTGTTTACTGAAACCCTACTTGTACAGTAGCGGGGGTCCTATTATTGCAGTTCAGGTACTTTGTTTACTGAAACCCTACTTGTACAGTATAGCGGGGGTCCTATTATTGCAGTTCAGGTACTTTGTTTACTGAAACCCTACTTGTACAGTAGTGGGGGTCCTATTATTGCAGTTCAGGTACTTTGTTTACTGAAACCCTACTTGTACAGTAGCGGGGGTCCTATTATTGCAGTTCAGATACTTTGTTTACTGAAACCCTACTTGTACAGTAGCGGGGGTCCTATTATTGCAGTTCAGGTACTTTGTTTACTGAAACCCAACTTGTACAGTAGTGGGGGTCCTATTATTGCAGTTCAGGTACTTTGTTTACTGAAACCCTACTTGTACAGTATAGCGGGGGTCCTATTATTGCAGTTCAGGTACTTTGTTTACTGAAACCCTACTTGTACAGTAGTGGGGGTCCTATTATTGCAGTTCAGGTACTTTGTTTACTGAAACCCAACTTGTACAGTAGTGGGGGTCCTATTATTGCAGTTCAGGTACTTTGTTTACTGAAACCCTACTTGTACAGTAGCGGGGGTCCTATTATTGCAGTTCAGGTACTTTGTTTACTGAAACCCTACTTGTACAGTAGCGGGGGTCCTATTATTGCAGTTCAGGTACTTTGTTTACTGAAACCCTACTTGTACAGTAGCGGGGGTCCTATTATTGCAGTTCAGGTACTTTGTTTACTGAAACCCAACTTGTACAGTAGTGGGGGTCCTATTATTGCAGTTCAGGTACTTTGTTTACTGAAACCCTACTTGTACAGTATAGCGGGGGTCCTATTATTGCAGTTCAGGTACTTTGTTTACTGAAACCCTACTTGTACAGTAGTGGGGGTCCTATTATTGCAGTTCAGGTACTTTGTTTACTGAAACCCTACTTGTACAGTAGTGGGGGTCCTATTATTGCAGTTCAGGTACTTTGTTTACTGAAACCCTACTTGTACAGTAGTGGGGGTCCTATTATTGCAGTTCAGGTACTTTGTTTACTGAAACCCAACTTGTACAGTAGTGGGGGTCCTATTATTGCAGTTCAGGTACTTTGTTTACTGAAACCCTACTTGTACAGTATAGCGGGGGTCCTATTATTGCAGTTCAGGTACTTTGTTTACTGAAACCCAACTTGTACAGTAGTGGGGGTCCTATTATTGCAGTTCAGGTACTTTGTTTACTGAAACCCTACTTGTACAGTATAGCGGGGGTCCTATTATTGCAGTTCAGGTACTTTGTTTACTGAAACCCAACTTGTACAGTAGCAGGGGTCCTATTATTGCAGTTCAGGTACTTTGTTTACTTAACTGAAACCCTACTTGTACAGTATAGTCATATAGTGGGGGTCCTATTATTGCAGTTCAGGTACTTTGTTTACTGAAACCCAACTTGTACAGTAGCAGGGGTCCTATTATTGCAGTTCAGGTACTTTGTTTACTGAAACCCAACTTGTACAGTAGTGGGGGTCCTATTATTGCAGTTCAGGTACTTTGTTTACTGAAACCCTACTTGTACAGTATAGCGGGGGTCCTATTATTGCAGTTCAGGTACTTTGTTTACTGAAACCCAACTTGTACAGTAGTGGGGGTCCTATTATTGCAGTTCAGGTACTTTGTTTACTGAAACCCTACTTGTACAGTAGCGGGGGTCCTATTATTGCAGTTCAGGTACTTTGTTTACTGAAACCCAACTTGTACAGTAGCAGGGGTCCTATTATTGCAGTTCAGGTACTTTGTTTACTGAAACCCTACTTGTACAGTAGCGGGGGTCCTATTATTGCAGTTCAGGTACTTTGTTTACTGAAACCCAACTTGTACAGTAGCAGGGGTCCTATTATTGCAGTTCAGGTACTTTGTTTACTGAAACCCTACTTGTACAGTAGTGGGGGTCCTATTATTGCAGTTCAGGTACTTTGTTTACTGAAACCCTACTTGTACAGTAGCGGGGGTCCTATTATTGCAGTTCAGGTACTTTGTTTACTGAAACCCAACTTGTACAGTAGCGGGGGTCCTATTATTGCAGTTCAGGTACTTTGTTTACTGAAACCCTACTTGTACAGTAGTGGGGGTCCTATTATTGCAGTTCAGGTACTTTGTTTACTGAAACCCTACTTGTACAGTAGCGGGGGTCCTATTATTTCAGTTCAGGTACTTTGTTTACTGAAACCCAACTTGTACAGTAGCAGGGGTCC